TTTATTACAGGAAATGGCCCTGAAACATCTTTATATTATGTGTATATGACACTCAAAACCCAGAGTATCAAAAAAAATTACTTTAAATTCTTGATTAAAAGACATGTCTTAGCCCTAGCGGGTTTGCTCAGTGGATAGAGCGTCGGTCTGTGGACTGAAGGGTCACAGGTTCAATTCTGGTTGAGGGCACATGCCCGGGTTGCAGGCTCAATAGGGAGTGGGCAGGAAGCAGCTGATTAATGATTCTCTCGCATCATTGATGATTCTCTCTCTCCCTCACCCTTTCTCTCTGAAATCCATAAAAATATATATTTAAAAAAAGAGACTTATTAGACACTAGTGGCCCACTGCACAAAAACTCAGGGGGAAGGGGTCCTGTAGCCTAGCCTGTGCCTTCTCACAGTGCAGGATCCTTCTGATCAATTGTCTCAAAGAGGTAGGTCCCACCCACCCATCCGGATTGCCCCAAAGAGGTAGGCTGGAGCAGGGGTCCTGTCTCTGCAGTGGATTCAGGGCCCCAGAACCCCAACAGAAGCTGCAAGGAGCAGCCTTGGGGACCCGCCTCCTTTGGAGGCAGCGGAGATGCTGGGACAGGCCTCCTCCACACCACCTGGTGCCATGGGACCCCCAGGCCCGCCGCATGGTGGCGCTGGACCCTGCCTGCACTGCATGTGCAGGCATCTTGTGACGGTGTGATGATCACTTGGGCTATTATTAGTATAGATAATGGGATATAATGTGTAGATTCTGCTTGGAACATGGTGTAAATCAATTGACATTTAAATGACAACTGGGACATTTAAATATGCACCGAGTATGTGACAATATTAAGGAATCATTTGTAATTTTGTTAGATGTGATAATGATATGGAGTTATGAAAGGAAATATACTTATATTGTGGACATGCACATGCAAATTAGGGAGGAAATGTCACATCTATAATTTATTTTAAAAGACTTCAACAAAATATCAATTGAAGAAAATAAGGCAAAATGTTAATAATTGTTTAATTTATGGTCTCTTTGAGTTTACTATAATATTTTCTCTACTGCTCTGTACATTTGAAAACTTTAATAATTCAACATTTTGAACAAAATTTTTGACAGTTGTAGTATAGTATAGTGATTTGTCAGCTAAATAGCCCTGCTTTATGGTCGTAGTGGATGTTGCTTTATTGTGCCTTTTGTGCTGCGATAGTAAATAGCAGTAGACCTGGAAACTAGATGATTTCTTCATAAAATGGAACATTACAATAAAAATGAACCAATAATCTCCGTTATGGCCCCAACCCTATGCTCTGATTTTATAACTTGGCCCATGATTATGGGAGGTGAAATAGTTAAAAAGTAAAACTGAAACATGTGGAATACAAAAGCTAGTATTAGCTCTTTAATATATATATTTCATATGTATATCAGAGATGAAGGGAGAGAGAGAGGAGGAGGAAGGGAGAGGGAGAAAGAGAGATAGAAACATCAATGATGAAAGAGAACCATTGATCAGCTGCCTCCTGAATGCTCCCCACTGGGGATCGAGCCCACAACCTGGGTGTGTGCCCTGATTGGGATTGAATCCTGACCTCTTGGTTCATAGGTTAATGCTCAACCACTGAATTTGTACCACACTGGCAGTCCATGGCATTCATGTGGGTGATCATGGACAGCCAGTGTGTTACAAATTCAGAGTCAAGAGATTGTTCCCATCTGGGGCCATTATAACATCATGGAGCATATAAAGGAGGTAAAATTTTGACAGGGAGAGAGAAAACAAGAAACTCTTTTTGTGTGGACCAATGAGTATACCCCGAAGCAAGGAGTGTTTGGATAACTATGAATTGGCAAGTTTGGCTGGAGGGAAGATTTCCTATTGGGACAAGCATGTTGCGTCTAAGAATTTGGATTATGGTAAAAACTGGGGAAGCAGTAAAGGTTTGGGAACATGAGTAAGGCTATGTGTCAGGAGCTCAATCTGACAGTGTTGACCTCAAGGGAAGTTGAGATTAAGACAGGAAGATCAATTGGGAAATCACTGAAGAATAGTTTTAAGTGGGGAAGGGAATACAAGTATAAATTTGGGTAATGACAGTGGGAATAGAAGGAAGGGATGATTACAAAACACACTGTAAAAAAAAGAACCAATTAGATCTGATGACTGCATTTAGGTCCTCTTTGAAAGAGAATAGGAAAATTCACATGAATCTGTATCATTTCATTGATGCAAGCAGTCAACTGTGAGTTTAACATGTCTAATATGACTCAATTGAGAAACTTTGAAAGAAAACTTTTAATTCTTTATTAATTTATAGGAAAGCTAGCCCCACACTTATAATTAGTAAACTGTTACACAAATTCTAATAATGAACACTTACTTCCTGTAGCCTTTGCTGCCTTTTTATCCATCTCTAAGAGCCAAGAAGATGCTGGTGTGGAGGGGAAACATGTGACCTGAGACTTTAGCAGAATCTATTGGTTCATAAGTGGGCTGTCACAGTACTTCCAAAACAGTAGAGATAATCTAGGGCCGTGGTCAGCAAGCTGCGGCTCGAGAGCCACATGTGACTCTTTGGCCCCTTGAGTGTGGCTCTTCCACAAAATACCACCACCTGGGCGAGTCTATTTTGAAGAAGTGGCATTAGAAGAAGTTTAAGTTTAAAAAATTTGGCCCTCAAAAGAAATTTCAATTGTATTGTTGATATTTGGCTCTGTTGACTAATGAGTTTGCTGACAACTGATCTAGGGGAGAGACACCTGGAGGCAGAGCCTGGAGGAGAGTCACGTAAAAAGCTGCCTTGAAAGGATGTCCTTCAGTGGAGGATGGACCTGGCTCCAGAGGGCTCTCCCGGGGAGAGCTAAAAGTCAGCACTCTGACCTTACTCTCCCCTTCCGCCTCTTGCCAACCTTCCTTCCTCTCTCCCATCGAGAAGGCCAGGGAGCATGTTGTTGTGCTCCACACAGGCCATCCTCCTGGGGCAGATGTTGGGATGGGGAAGGGCAGAGAGTAGAACTGGGTGGAAACAGAAGGCAACAGTCACATCCTCTTCAGAAAGCACAACAACATGGGGGGAAAGGCCTGGAGGAAGTTCTTCATAGAATCATAAAACGTTAGAGCTACGCTTAATAGAGGCATATTTATTTATTTATTTATTTATTTATTTATTTATTTTTGAGTGATGTTGATATTTATTGACACCAATGCAAAACAAGCTAAGACTGAATGTTGTTATTTAAACAGGAACAAATATTGGTGCAGTTTCCTTCCTGGACAGGTCATGCACTCAGATCATGAGACCTAAGATAAAACAAAGACTGGATTGTCAAGAACCAAACAAGGGTTAAATTTTACTTATTAATATAAAAATTGCTAGAGGCCAAAGGATATGTCTAAAAATATTCTTTCCATTAATATCACATAAGCAAACAAAAATCTAAAACTAATCTTAAATTTTAGGACACAGGATATAGACATGACATGACTATCTAAATTTTGCATAAGCAAACACTTGTTATAAACGTCACTGTACTTGTAGTACAATTACATACTTGTTGCTTCTATGATGCACAAAGTCAACACTTATCACCAACAATGAATGTAACTAGATCTGCACAAGACTCTGCTCCATTAAATTAAGAAAATTCAACTCAGGATTAACAAAATCTTTTGATTTTAAAGCTGGCTCTCTTCTTCTCATGTCATACCTAATTAAGACCTTACTTGACATTTCCCACCTGCAAATTGCAATGCATGTCCTCTCTCTGATCTTTGTCTGACACTTTAATTTGTAGGAATTGAAAAAAAAAAAAAAAATGGAATCGTACTTCCAGTCTGTACCCACAATCAGGTTCCTGCTTTGACGCAAAATACTCTTCTCTGCAGTGTATCCCACCAGCACAGCAACCCCCTTTCTCTCTCTATTCCTTTGCCCGGAGGCACTTCTGAATTGCTTAATACATGCTCTCTGGCTGCCTACACAGTCAGGAGGACATGTATGGCCATTGGACTTATCACTCCTCTCCTCCTTTTCTATGGCTAATACCACTTTCCTGCTTTTTTCTATTGCTGAATCTCCAGACTTGATGCTGTCATCAGAGGGACAGAGTCGTTTTCGGCTTCGAGCACATGGTTGGTAAAGCTGCATTGCTGGACGATCCTTGTTTCTAATGTGATCTCTTAACCACTTCCTCTTTCTTTTCTGTTTTTTCTAAGCTGGCTAGTGATTCTGTACTTTCAGTCTTCTTTCCTTTATCCCGAAGTGCTTCTTTCTCTTTTTTAATTTCTTCTTCCTTTCTTTTAAAAGCCTTCTCTTTCTCATAGCACTCCCTCTGCTTCTGGCGCTCTTCTTCTTGACGCTTTAGCCTCTCTCTTTCCCGAAGGATGCGCTCTTGATCGCGTTCATAATCCCGTTCCCTCTCCCGATAGTCTCTGCCACTCTCATCTTCAGGTCTCTTAGGCTTTTCATCTTTAAATTCGGCATCACAACGTTTGGGCAACGTACAACTTTGCCCACTGGCTCTTTCATCACTCAGATTCTAATAAGAGGCATATTTAGACTATAAAGAATTCTTTCAGTGAAGGAGAGACCTTTGTAAAAAAAAAATATAAATAAATAAAAAGAACCAATTAGATCTGATGACTGCATTCAGGTCCTCTTTGAAAGAGAAGAGGAGCCGAGACCGGTTTAGCTCAATGGATAGAGCGTCGGCTTGGGGACTGACGGGACCCGGGTTCGATTCCGGTCAAGGGCATGTACCTTGGTTGCGGGCATATCCCCAGTAGGGGGTGTGCAAGAGGCAACTGATCGATGACTCTCTCTCATCGTGTTTCTAACTCTCTATCTCTCTCCCTTCCTCTCTGTACAAAATCAATAAAATATATTAAAAAAAAAAAAAAAAAAAGAGAAGAGGAAAATGAAGATGGAAATGCAAGTCCTCAGTAACTGTACTTTTCTTTGCACTGGGTTGTCCAGTAACTCCTTCCTGTGTTCATTCCCTTTCTTCCTAAGTGCTCATCTTCAAACTGTACCAGCGGGCTAAGCACGTGTACAGTGAGGCTGCGCGAGTGCTCCAGTTTAAGAAGATCTGCGAGGAAGCACCTGACAACATGGTCCAGCTGCTGGGGGAGCTGATGAACCAGAGCCACGAGAGCTGCCGGGACATGTATGAGTGTAGCTGCCCTGAGCTGGACCAGCTGGTGGACATCTGTCGGTGAGGCTGAGATAGCGGAGTGGCAGGGGTTGGGGGATGCTGCCAAAGCAATTGTTTGAATTAATGAAAACCAAACCAAACCAAAACAACATTTTCATGGCCTTCTGAGTGAAAGATGATCCTTGCGCACTTCCTGTATGAAGAGTTGAGTGTGATATGGGGCCAACCTTGCTGCTTCCCGAATGTCAGTGTGATGAGAGACTGGAGGCCTCCTCCACGGCTTCATGAGGCTCCGGGTCTGGAGTCAGTTATTCAGAACCTCCCGGGAAAGACATTTCAGGGAGCTTTTCTCAGACGCGGCCCCTGTCACTTTATCCTGATATTTTACCCGGTGCTGCCCACTGCACTGCGGCTCTGCCGACATCTCCTGTTTGGTGTCCTAAATTCAGTTTTATTCAAAAGAACAGAAAATGGAAAGGGAGCCTCAAGCCTGATAGAGTGCTGGGCTGGAGGGAGGTTGCTGAAGGGATTAACTCAGAGAGCCAGCGTTTCCTGCCTTCTCTCTTTGTTAGGCAATTTTGGGGAAAAAGATGAGAAAGCCAGTTTATGAATGGTTGGTGAGACAGAAATGTAAAGAGGGAAACTTTCAGGAGGCCTGAGACCAGCTCATTTGTAACTGCTAGTGCATGGGGGGAACAGAGGAGAGTGGTCCCTTTGCCCAGAGGGACCAGTGACCTTGGGAGAACTGAAAGGGAAACTGGGCAAACACTCAAATGGCCACATGCTATTTTCACTGTGAGAAGATAGTACATGAAGAGAATATGAGAGCTGTCTGCAATTAGTAATGAAAATATAATTTGCCACTTGGCGCCTATGGCTTGCCTCACTCATTGTCACACTCGCAGCCTGAAGAGTTTAAACCAAGCAGCCCCAGTGATTGCACATGGCATGCGTAACCCGGCTTGCTGAGAAATTTGAACAGAGCATTGATGACAGTGATTCTGCTGCCGTCAGTGTTTGCTCAACTAATTGCCAAAAAGCCTTCCTGAGTTTGTTTCATTGTAAGTGCTCTTTTCAGAAAATATCAAGGGCCCATTAAATTGAAGGGGACAAATATTGTTCCATTTTGGACATAAGAGGAAGAGGGATGGGTTGTGCAATATCAGGACACGTTGCTGCCTGTAAGGTAGTGGGGTGGTTTGAATCCCACCTGAAAAGCCGTGGAAGGGCATTTGCTAGCCGCCTGCAACTCGCTAATGAGCTTTTTCTTCCTGGGTTGGTCCACAAGCTACGGCGCGTGTGGAGCTCACATTCTTTGGGGAAAGAGAGAAATTACAATAAAAAAGAAATCGGGTGGTAGTGACAAGTGTTATGAGAAAGAATAAGAAGGGATAGAGAGTACCAGGGTTGAGGGGGAAATCTTTATATGGAGTGGCTGAAGGAGTCCTCTCTGAAGAGACAGTATTTGAACAGAGACCTGAAGGAAGTGAAGCAATAGCAAGCGGCTAGGTCCTGAGTGGGCATGCGGCTGCCACATGTGAGGCACAGCAAGAAGACCGGTGTGGTTGGAGGACAGTCGAGGAAGGACAGAGCAGTGGGTGATGAAGGAAGAAGGGTGGGAGGGGCCACACCACGTGGGCCTTGGGGGCCGTGGAAGGACTCTGGCTTGAGGGGAGAAAGGCGCGTGGCAGGGCTAAGGTCCTGTGCAGATGCCTCGAAGGAAGACTCAAGACGATCGCTGTGGGTGAAAGGCAGGACACAAGATGACTCCTGGATTTTTGTCCTGAGGAAATGTCCTTGTTTCTATAAAAGCCACATTTTTGGAAGTCAGACTTTCTGGGTCCGAATTATCTTATGATACCGTCAGATATGAGAGCAGGAAGAGGAGAGGTAGAGGTGCTAAGTGCTCAAGTGCTTTGAACAGTCAGCATAGCGAGGCCCCGGACAGGAGGAAGGCTGGAAAGAGGTCGGGAGAATCGCCAACGATAATCGTCAGCTTTCCCTCCTGGTCCCCTTGTGGCACTTTAACGTTCCTTTAGTTTTCCTGAAGGCCTGTTTGTAAAGTATTTGCAAAAGACAGCTAATTAAGTGAATGAAGGATTCCTATGCCTGGAATACTCAGGGCACAACCACAAGCTAGAATCTTCATGTGCTCTGAGCCACACTAATGGAAAGGTGCCTCTACATAGCCAGCCTGTCGGACAACATAGAGGAAGCTGCTTTCTGACTCAGGTGGAGAGAAGGGGAGAAGGTGGCGGTCACCGGTGCTTGCTGTTTTCTCAGTGGAGCCTTTTCCTGTTCCTCAGGAGAAAATCTGCTGAGGATCCAAAGAAAAGGGCCAGGCAGGGAGAAGGAAACTCCACTCCTGCAGGGAGGCTGTTTACTTATTTTTATTAAATTAACGTTAGAAGACCTCAATTATGTGAAACAAAGTATAATGATGAAGGATAAAGATGAAGCTTGCCCAATGATAAAATAACTCTTTTTAAGGAAAATGTAAATTTTAAGAAACTGCTGAATTTTGAAGTAGAATTTACTGAGGGACACAAAAGAGTTTTGAAACCAAGTCAATTACATGAGAAACCGCTCATTATTGGTTTCCCTGGTTGCCCTTAAGAAAAAACAGTTAAGGCCGTTATTTCCTCGTTGACACTTGTTAAAATAAGGAGGACTCAGTGATGCCTTATTGCCCAAGCTGTTAATGACACATTTTAATAGACCAACAAAGGTTACAGAAGTAGAAGTGCTGTCTTCCTCAGAAGGCTGTCCACAGTGTCATTGCCCCGGAGCTGCTCAGCCTCCAGCGCCTGTTCTTCCGAGCAGGCCCCAGTGGGGAGGAGCGGGGTGCACACCACAGTCCTGGGCCCTTTCCCCACCAGCTCAGGTGCTAGCCTGCAGCTCTGCCCAGGAAAGGCAGGGAGCCCTTCCCACTGTCCTCAGGCTCACTTCTCTTTGGGCCACTGTCTTCCACGTATTTTCATCCACCCAGATCTATCTATCTATCTACCTATCTATCTATCGATATCGATAGATAGGTAGATAGGTAGATACATAGATGGAGAAATACCATAAGCTAGAATCAAACCAACTGCTTTCCAATGGCCTTTAGCAGCTTAATATCTAAGATAGATTTGTAGTCATATTTTCTTATACTTTTTCATCTAACCAGTATTTGAAGTCTGTGATTTCTTGTATCTAAAGTGATCTGAAAGTGGTTCTAACCTGGCTGTAAAAATAATATGTTGTCCTGGAAGGTCTGTTTTTCTGAGATTCTAGTCAGAAAATTTTAGGCTTCAGAGCATTATCAAAGTATTTCCAGGTAAAGGATATATTACTGACTGCTTATGATTATGCTAGAGGCCCAGTGCATGAAATTTGTGCACTTGGGGGGGGGGGGGCTGTCCCTCAGCCCAGCCTGCAACCTCTCCAATCTAGGACATCTCTCTCATAATTCAGGACTACTGGCTCCCAATTGCTCGCCTGCCTAACTGCCTGATTGCCCCCAACCGCTTCTGCCTGCCAGCTTGATCACCCCCTAACCACTCCCCTGCCAGCCTGATTAATACCTAACTGTTCCCCTGCCAGCCCGGTCACCCCTAACTGCCCTCCCCTGCTAGCCTGGTTGCCTCTAATTGCCCTCCTCTGCAGGCCTGGTTGCCCCCAACTGCCCTCCCTTGCCAACCCAGTCACCCACAACTGCCCTCCCCTGCCAGCCATCTTGTAGTGACCATCTTGTGACCACATGGGGGTGGCCATCTTGTGTGAAGGCATGATGGGAAATTTGCATATCGCCTCTTTATTATATAGGATTATTATATAGGATTATACTAGAGGCCTGATGCACGGAATTTGTGTAAAAGTAGGCCTTCCTTTCCCTGGCTGCACTGGCTTCCCAGGACTCAGACTTCCCTCTGGCCCCAACTTCATCTGGAAGGATGTCCAGAATGATGTTTGGTCTAATTAGCATATTATGCTTTTATTATTATATATTATATTATCCTACCTAATAAAATAGTAATATGCAAATTAACCACCACTCCACTATACCCACAAGCCGTGCCCACCAGCCACACCCACCAGCCAATCAGAGTGAGTATGCAAATAAACCCAACCAAGATGGCTATAGCCACTGAGAGCAGGAGGGAGGCTTGGATTTCCCAGGCAACAGAAGCAGCCAAGCTTTCTGCCTGTTCTTGCTGGCCTAAGCCTCCACTCAAGGCTACAAAGTTTCAGTTATAGAAGGTAAACAGATCCAAACAGTAATGGCGGCAGCCACGGAGCTGGAGAGAGCAGGCTATGGTTGCTCCTGGCAATGGAGGAAGCAAAGCTTTCTGCACACTCTGGCCAGCCCAGGCCTCTGCTTAAGGCTACAAAGTTTCAATTACAGTATAGAAGGTACATAAGTCCCAGTAGAAATGGCTGCTGGCTACAGAGCAAGCAGGATGCTTGGCTCCGTTCCAGGCTACAAAGTTTCAATTGTAGAAGATACATAAATCCCAGATACCAGGACCTCTGCTTGGGTCGCTAGGGGGCATGGCTGGCCTGCAAACCACCACAGGCCCCTTGCCCAGGCCTTCCCACACCTCAAGGGAACCCCCACCCTGATCCGGGACACCCTTCAGGGCAAACCAGTGGCCACCACCCATGGACCAGGCCTCTATCCTATCTAATAAAAGAGTGAGATGCAGATTGACCATCACTCCAACACACAAATATGGCTGCCCCCATGGGTCAAAGATCCTGCCCCTATGTGGACACAAGATGGCCACCACAAAAAGGCCAGCAGGAGAGGGCAGTTGGGAGGGACCAGGCCTGCAAGGAAGGGCAGTTGGGAGGGACCAGGCCTGCAAGGGAGGGTAATTGGGGGCAATCAATCCTTTAAGGAAGGGCAGTTGGGGGTGACCAAGCCGGCAAAGGAGGGAAGTTGGGGGCAAACAGGCTGGCAGGGGAGCAGTTAGACATCAATCAGGCTGGCATGGGAGTGGTTAGCGGGTAATGAGGCTGGCAGGCAGAAGCAGTTAGGGGTAATCAGGAAAGTAGGCAGGTGAACAGTTGGGAGTCAACAGTTCTGAATTGTGAGAGGGATGTCTGACTGCCTGTTCAGGCCCAACCCCTTGTGAGGTTTCAGATTGGAGAGGGTGCAGGCTGGGCTGAGGGACACCCCCTTCCCTCATGCACAAATTTTGTGCACCAGGCCTCTGGTATTACATATATTATACTAATATACACTGAGTGTCTAGATTATTATGATCTTTGAACACATAATAATCTGGCCACTCAGTATATATCCTATATAATAAAAGGCTAATATGCAAATTGTCCCCTTGACTAGGTCAACTAGCAGGCAGGTTGGCCAACTGCTCATGTCCCCTCCCCTTGGCCAGGCTGGCCGGAGTCCAGTCATGCATGAATTCATAATATATTATTATGTGTTCATAGATCATAATAATCCGGCCACTCAGTGTATTATGCCATTTCATATATAATTGACTTGGTTTCAAAATTATTTTATGTTCTTCAGTAAATTCTACTTTAAAATTTACATTTTGTTAACTTAAAATATATTTTTAATTGAGCAAGTATCTTTTTCCTTTATTATACTTTATTTCACATAATTGAGGTTTTTCTAACATGAATTTTAAAAGCCTGAGTAAAAGCCTCCCAACTGTTCACCTGCCTACTTTCCTGATTACCCCTAAATATTTTGGTATTTGTTTCTTTATTTTAATTTTTTATCACTTTTAATTCCCTCTATACCATTTTCCACATCTTCCATCATTTCCCCCCAAATTACTGTTAACCATGTGATCTTTCTCTTTTATTCATTTTTCCTCAATCTCTGCACACACACCCCAACTCCTCCCCCCACCCCCCAAAGACCTATTTATGAATCTGACTGTTTTGGTTGTTAGTTCAGTTTGTTCATTAGATTCCACATATGGGTGAAATCAGATACTTGTCTTTCTCTGACTGCATTATAATATATCACTCAGCATAATGTTCTCCAGGTCCATCCATGCTGTTGCAAAGAGTAAAACTTTCTTTCTTTTTACAGCCAAGTAGTATTCCATTGTGTACATATAAAATAGCTGTTTTATCTACTCATCTACTGATGGACTCTTGGGCTGCTTTCCGGCTATTTTAAATGAACATAAGGGTGCATATACTCTTTCAAATTAGTGTTTTGTTTTCTTCGGATAAATTTCAAGAAGTAGAATTTCTGGGTCATAAGGCAGTTCCTATATTTTGATATTTTAAAACAAATATAAAACCCAATAGCTAGTTTTTAGGACCTAACAAATATCTGGAATTATGCTGGGCTGAGACTAGAGAGATAGATATAAGCTGTCCCTGAATTTAAGATTTTATAAAATAATACACATTTGTATAATATAAAAATACTTATTTCAAAATAAAATTGAATTGAAATACATACAAGGCAAAATTCCTTTCTCTTTCTCTTTCTCTTTGTAGTTTGTATCAAAGTTGGGTCTTATTGGATTCCCCCCAACCTCCATTGTCCTGTACATAGCACCTTAGTAAGTGCTGTATGGTCAAATCAGATCCTTTAAAAGTAGGAAATTTTAGTCAGGCTTTATTGGGTATCTGGAAAGTTATAAGAATATACTTTTCAGTGATGAAAAGATCAAAAGCAATAGTCTATAATCTCCATCTCATATCTGCCCTCGACTTTGTTTGGTATATCATGCTTTTTAAGGCAGAGACTTCTTTTGTTGTTTTGATCAATCTTTCTACACTCTTCTTAGTCTATTTGCCACAGTCATCAAAGTGGTAGTTGGAGGAATTTAGGGTTTGGTTTTTTATAACTCTTGTATTGCCTCTCTGATGGTTGCCTCTCAGGACCTATATTCTTAAAGTTTTACTGTTCTTCCAGAGGGGAAAAAAAAAAAAAAAAAAGCAAACATGAAAAGCTCACTAAATGCCGTTGGTTCACCTGCTTCTTAAAGTTTTTATTGCCAAAACCGGTTTGGCTCAGTGAATAGAGCATTGGCCTGCGGACTCAAGGGTCCCGGGTTCGATTCTGCTCAAGGGCATGTACTTTGGTTGCGGGCACATCCCTGGTCAAGAGGTAGCTGATCAATGTTTCTGACTTTCTATCCCTCTCCCTTCCTTTCTGTAAAAAATCAATAAAATATATTTTTTAAAAAAGTTTTTATTGGTCTCCTAACTTTTGGGTTTCTGAGAATTTTGATGGCATATGCCAGAAGGGCATATTAAATACCAGTGGGGACACTGCAGACAGGCCCTTTCAGCCTGTGAGTGTGTAGCTGGGCGGGCTGCTGACCAGCTGCTGGGCAGACCCTGATTTGTGATCACAAGTGCCTCTGGCTCAGGGCACAGGCTATTTATAATAGCACTTATCGTTCCCTATTTGGGAAAGTTGAGCTTTGATGATTTTAGACCATGTGGCTGATGCAGTTGAGTCCATTTCATCTACAGCCGGCCGGGTGCTGACAGAGCCGCTCTGGGGACTCAGAAGCGAATGCATTCACCTAGGAAGACTTGAGCTTCTGCTCTCTGGAAACTGGCGGGATACTCACCACAATGGCCTTTTGGCACAATTCCTATGGGGTTTGCAGTGAGTTGGAAACAATACTCAGTTTGCTTTAGGTTCAGCTTTGAAACCACAGTTTTCAGAAACTGTTCAAATGAAAAACTGTAAGAAAACATGCCTACAAATTCATTGAAGACATGAGACCTGGCTGGCCTGTGTCTAGCCAAGTGGCATACTTTGGGCCTTAGAATGGAGGAGGCACAGTGTGCTCTAGATGAGGAGGTGCTTTGCTGACACCTCTATTATTCTAGCATATTCCCCAGGGAAGAGAGTTTGATGTGACTAACAACAATATTTTTTTTTCCTAATCACCAAATTGCAAATTGGCCTTTGCCAGCCTATGGACTCAGAGTCATTCTAGGATCCCGGGCTCCAGCTATTAGGCCATCAGCTAAATCAATGTGCGAGGGACAGGAGGACAGGAGTGATTTTTATTTATTTGCAAGCATTTTTGTTTTTTGCTTTTTTCCTTCAACATCTATTTTTATTTGAAAAGCCTATTTTAATGAATAAGACAGATGATGACAAGAAATCGATTGACAAAATTATTGAGGGGAAATGAATCACTGGTGTCACTGGTGTGCATTAATTCTGATGTTCTAGAGTAGGGGTAATATTCTACTGATATTTTCCCACTGGGGTTGTGCCCGCAACCAATGTACATGCCCTTGACCGAAATCGAACCTGGGACCTTTCAGTCCGCAGACCGACACTCTACCACTGAGCCAAACCGGTTTCTGCCAGATGGTAAATTCTGAGTCCAGTTGTCAGACCAGCTCCTGAAGATGCAGGAAGATTCCATGAAATCACTACTCGAAAAGCTATAGAGCAGCCACCTACTACTCAGAGCCAAAACCAAGGGCCAGTTTTAGATGCAATTAAATTTGAAATTACCTCTGCAACAACATACATTTTCTAATTTACTAAAAAGTTCAGTGGAGAAAACCCTACAAAACAGTACACACACACACACACACACACACACACACACACGTTCTCTCATTAGCACTTGGGTAGGTTGTGTGTCCTATAGTACGCAGCAGCCAAATCACTCTCATGTTCCTTTACAGGGTCTGATTTTTCTTTTCTCATTGTTTCAGGACGTTTGGAGCTCAAGGGTCACGACTCACGGGAGCAGGATGGGGAGGCTGCACAGTCTCACTGGTACCTGCTGACAAGCTGCCCAGCTTCCTAGCAAATGTGCAGGAAGCCTATTACCAGAGTGGCGACCGGCGCCTGGCACCCGAGAAGCAGAGTTTGTTTGCTACCAAACCCGGAGGCGGGGCCTTGGTTTTCCTTGAGGCCTAAACAATGTAAAAAATCTCGGAGAAACTATTTAGGGCATTTAGGAACTGGCAGGACTTCTTATGCCACAGTAAATTAATCCTTTCTGTTTTGTATTATGATGAACGGTTGCTATTATCAAGATGTGTTTCCCAAGAAATGGTTGCAAGCTCTCTAAGCTTCATAATGATTATTTTTCCATCTTAAAATATGTTTTTTATCAGTAGGAGTCAAAATTATGGTTGGACAGATCCCTTAAGAATGATTTACTAGGATTTATTGACTGTAAGATTTTTAAAGATGAATTGTAAAAAATAATCCCAACCTCATGGATTGGACTAGAATTAAACATACTGCTACAGTTAAACTGAAATAATTGACTTGTGTACAGTATCTTAAACACGGTTTACTTCTGGTTTCTCAGTGCTCTTCTTCGTCCCCGGTATTGTCTTCTGTTGATGATGATGATGACACCGATGTTAGAAGTTCTCTCCCAAACTTAGCTTCATTCCGCTATGAAAAGAATACATTATTAGGGAAGCACAGATTTTCCTGGACTGCATATTCCTGAGTGTGAGATTCCCCCAGTTACCAAGATGAGCATTATTAAAAGACTAGAGGTCCAGAGCAGGAATTGGTGCATCTTGAGAGGAAATTAATTAGAAGAAATATTTTAATATCGCTGTTCACCCTTTCTCTATAATAGTAATGTCAACCAAATTCACGATTGATGATGACAGATAGAAACACAATGTATGATTGGTGCCAGTGAGAGCTTTATATGTATCATGCATGGATGATGCAACTTAGCCTTTTATATCTCTCTATATGAAAGCCTAAGCGACCATCTGCCCATTTAACTGTTCAACTGATAACTATGACATGCACTGACCATCAGGGGGTAGATGCTCAATGCACAGGCATGGAAACATGGAACAGAAGGATAAATCTCAGAGAGAGTGGGAGGAGGAGGAGGTCGGGAAGAGATTAACCAAAAATCTTATATGCATACTAGAGGCCCAGTGCATGGATTCGTACACTGGGCCACTAGTGTATAGAATAAACTTGTTTAATTAGACCTGCTTTCTGATGTAGCTAAACTTTTTTTTCCCACCCCAACTTCTCTTTCAGGTAATTGTCAGCAACACAGCAGTAAATATCAACATTAAGCAGATTATTATTATAGATCATGCAGGGAGAAAAAAAGGGTGAAATATTTAACTGCAGCAGTGTTTGAATTACTATATTCTGTGCAATGAGAAAATCTGAGGTCATTTTCAAGGTCTACCATTTCTTTTCAGTCAGGTCAAGTTTCTAAGCTTTCTAAATCTCCGTTTTCTGGGTAATGAAAAGAAAATAGGATTCCACCAAGTCTCCTATCTACCTACTCCAGGACTTCTGTGAGGATCAAATGAGATGAGGCATGGGAAAATGCTTCACAGACATTTGATTAAACTTTGAAGTATTTCCATCTGGCTATAAAGCAAGTTGTGTGCCTGGGCTGAAGAAACTGCAAGGAGACTAGTCTTCACTAGGGAGAGGAAACTGGGCATTGCTACATGACTGTTTCCAGGCCGGGCTGGGCTGTGGGCCACAAAATGGGATTTGGTAGGCTGTCGCTCCAGGGTGGTAGTGGAGCCTGTGTCCCACTTTGGGGAAGCCAAGTGTTGCTTTGTGGGTGCCAGGTCTGTGGTGCCATTTCTCTGCATGCGTCACAGCAGCTCCTGCATTGAGTGCCTGCCACCTGGTGGTTAGTGTGCATCATAGCAGCTGATCAGATGGTCAGACACTTAACATATTAGCCTTTTATATATATAAATGGCTTTAGGAAGAAAATCCTGATCATTTAACTTTTTTAACTATGTGATATCACATAAACAATCACTTTTAATTCTTTTGGCACTGAGCTCTGTCATTTAACAGAGAAACTTAGATAAAAGACACTTTAAATCTTTATTTCTATTCACATTGAAATAGAGAATGATGGAAACCAGTTTGTTCATGGAATTTACTTTCTTCCCACCTTTTTATCAGGTGACTATCTAAACCAAGAAGCTTGCTCACTGTTCTGGGAAACACCACTTTGCATCCCTTTATTGTGTGTTTAGCAAGTCTTATTCATTTATGTGGGTCAGTGTAGGGCTGGTGTGCAGGTATGTGAGTAAGTGTATAAAAGGCTTAGAGAGTTGGTTCTGAGATTGGGTCCCTACCCAATTTGGGGGTACCTGTATATGTTTATCAAATGTGGGCAGAAATGTTTGGCCATGTGGAAATGGTAAATGAATGACTTTCTCTCACGGATAGAAGACAAGAGGGCCTTTTGGAATTATGTGAAGATTTGGACCAGAAAGCATTTAGTGATATAACCTGATAATTGAGATAGGAGTTGTGTTATGGCATGAGTTATCCAGAAAATTATCACAATTTTCTATTATTCTATGATTGTTTTTGCTCGTTAATGTGCAACTCAAAGGTTGGACATCATCATCTTGAATCTCAGTTTCATGGAGGCTTAGGCCAAGTTGGTTGTAATAATTCTCAAAGGATAATAGTCATATAGAAAGTACTAGGAAATCCATCATTTTATTCTAAAATAAATTTCTTTGCAGAAAGGCAAAAACTTAGAAAACTTAAGTCAAATTTATTGAAAGAATTTTGAGTTTTTAAAATTCAAATATCCAAAATCTGAATCGATTCCATTTTTAAAATCCTCACCTAAGTATATGTTTATTGATTTTTCTTTTCTTTTTCTTCTTCTTTTTTTTGAGAGAGAGAGAGAGAGAGAGAGAGAGAGAGAGAGAGAGAGAGAAACATTGATTGGTTGCTTCTCATATTTGCCCTAACCAAGCCTGCAACCTAGGTATGTGCCCTGACTGGGAATTGAACTGTGTCCTTTCAGTGTATGGGACAACACTCTAACCAAGCCACACTGCCCAAGGAAAACTCTGAATCGACTTTAAATTATAATTTTTTAATACCTTTCTATTTTCCACAAAAGATCTGTGGTTGGTATATAATTCTTTAAAGATACCTACATTAGAGTTTTTTGTTTTTTTTTAAAGGCACTATTATATTTAAAAAAAAAGATCTGTTTTCCAATCAGACAATCACCAAGTGTTTTAGAAATTCTGAGAGATAAACTTGTCTGGAAAGGGCCATGGAGAAAAAAAGGTTCATGCAGAAGATGGAATTTGAGTGTGGATCTGAATTGCTGATGGTGGGAGATCCGATAATACTTTGGCCTCCATTCCTACAGGATAACAATGAACTGGAGCTGAGGAGGTCGTTGCCTGGTTTAGACAAGGAGAGTACTCTCCGTGTGCCACAGTTTTCACAGCTCCTCCTACTTCCAAATACTTGAACCGTTTATCATTGACTAGCTGAGGTCAGTGTGCCCTTTCCTTGCACACCTGCACAGGTGTTTTTTCCTACTAAATAAACATATCTCCAGTCCCATATCTCTGGCAGTAGTAGTTAGGAGATACCAATAAAAATGGGAGAAAGAAATGTTTTGTGTCTGTGGAAGTAAAGGGTAGCCCTGTTTGTTTAATATCAATATTAAGCACCCAGTTATTTTACTCCTTTCTGTCCCACCTTTCTGGCTCCTATAAGAATTAGATTAGATTGTTTAACACTTGTTTTGACATTACACTCACAGCCAATGAGGATTACTCTAGATTTTTGAGAGGAAGCCTGGCATATTGAAAAGAAAAGGCTCTCTCCTACGCCTGACTTCAGCTTGTGTCCTTGCCTTGCTGGGAGGGAAGAAGGCCCTTCCGAAGGCACAGGACTGCCCATCAACAGAAGGGGAGGAAATGGAAAGCCTTCTTTCTTTCCACTCTGTTAAGATCCTTTTTCCCTTCTGTCTTAAGTTTCTGTTAATTGAGGGTACGGCCCATTCATTTAACAAAGTGGTTGGGATCCAATACATTTTTGTTCAATTATGAATGGAAAATATGAATATGATTTCAAACACCAATAAGTTTCTGTTAATTTGAAAGTCTGACTGCATTTGGAGGTTTTCAATTATCCTTGGTCAGAAGCAAGGGATGGGGATGGTGGACATGAGATAGTCATGGACATGTGAAATGTGTACATGGATGATTTAATATCATATGAAACCACATATTGTTTACTAAATATTGTCTGGTATACATACTAGTAAGAGAAGCTAGAGAGAGACTTCTCAATTATAATAGTTAAAAAACAAAACATACCAGTTTACGTAGGAACTTCTTATAGTCTTTTTCAATTTCTAAAGGCTTCTTGGTAGCCTTTGCTTGGAGTCTGATCATGGAACAAAGAAAATCATTAACCAAACTAGTCTTTATACTGACACCAACTAAGACCAACATTTACAGAGTTTAATGTGCCAGGCACTTGCCAGGACTTTGCAAATGTTAATTCAGTTACACTTGCAACAATCTTATGGAGTAGGTACTACTATTGTTTATCCTGTGTTATCAATGAGGAAACAGCCTCTGGGAGGTCATAGAGCTCACCAGTAGCAGAGGATTAACCCAAGAGGGTGACTAGAGGGTGACTAGAGCCCTCAGTTCCACCACGGTGCGACACTGCATCCCAGCATGAGGCGTCCTCCTCGGAGAGATGCTGCACATGGCACTCCCTGAGCTGACCCCACTCACAGGCCCCAGCACAGACTTGAGGAAGGGTTGGTGGGGAGAGAAGAGGAAGAGGGACTGGCAAGAGAAAGACCTGGGGGACAAAGAGAGAGACACGGAAGAGGCAAAAGGGAGAGGGTGCTCACTAGCCTGAGCTCACAGAGTGGGAATTCAGGGCTCTCCCATAATTTCTGTCCCCAAGTACTCCCTCAAGAACTATTTAGGAAGGAGATGAGCAGTTGAATCCACAGATCTTTGAATGAGGCAAGAAGCAGAAGTAGCCTAGGCAAGGAAGGGTAGGAACTTGCAACAAGGGAGAAACATTAGTAGCAAGAGAAGCATGAATGAGTGAAAGAAAAATGAAAAAGGGTATAAAGTTATTAACTTCACTGGAAATTTTCAAATGATTCTTCCTCCATGTAATTTGTAGGAAGTAACATTTTTCTAAGAATTCCAAATATACTTGTGCAAGCATGGAGTTTGGATTGGCCACCCCCTGCAAAGCCTGCTCTAGGTTTCTTCAGTGTTTAGTGTCGGGTCGTCCCGAGGGCACAGTAGGGCCACCTCTTGGAAGCCTCTTGCGTTAGTGCTGTGAGTGATAAATGTCCCCTCGCTCATCTTTGACTTTGCCTCTGCCAATTTTATCGCCTTAACCTCACTTCTTGTTACGCTTTGGGTCTGCCCTTCTCTGTGTTTCTCAAGTATGTGCTTACAGTTCGGGTCTCTTCCTCAGAGTCTTATTTACTCCAAAATATCCCTGTGCCCTTTTCCAGTCACACCCTCTTAGAACCTTCGTGACTTGCAAGTCATCCTGAGACCGTGGTTCATCTCAGTTGACATCAACCCATCTTCCAGGTCTCTCCTTTGATTTATACACCCCCCCCCCCCATTAAAAACAAAACAAAACAGTTTTATTGAGATATGTCACATACCATAAAATTTACCCTTTGAAGTTGTACAATTCAGTGGTTTTTAGGACAGTTGGCCCTTGAACAGCACTGGTGTGGACTGTGCAGGTCTGAATGGAAAATATGAATATGATTTCAAACACCAATAATTTTCTGTTAAAGCACAGTCCACACCAGTGCTGTTCAAGGGCCAACTGTCCTAAAAACCATGGCTTTGATTTTGTGATGGAGGCAGAGGCCAATGGCATCGATCTACACTATTTTGCATGAGGGACGTGAGCCTCTGCAGATTTTGATATTTGCAGGGCTCCTGGGACTCATACCCTGGGGATGCGCAGGGACAACTTAAGCTTTGGAGAGTCATAAGTTATATGTGGAATTTTGGCTGCGTGGTTGTCAGCATTGTTCAAGGGTCAACAGTCTGCTCACTGCTGCAGCCATCACTGCTGCCTGGCCCCTCCTCCAACTGCCTTTCTTCTCCATGAATCCCTCATTGCCGAGGATTACTAGTTGGTGGTGTGCCTGTTGGTTTAACGGACACATGGAATGTATATATCCAAATGAGTATTTTCCCTTCACGGTATCCAACGCGTCACTGCATACGTGTAAGGGCATTTGAGAGCCTCCTGCACGATGCTCTCAAAATCATTCTATGCTCTTCCTTATATCCTAGCGGGGAGAAAGCTTGTGCCACATAGATTTATTTCTTGGGAACTTGTAAATCAGCTTACAACTGCGGTGTTACAAAAGGGGGAAAGCTGTCTGATAAGGTTTTGGGGAAAGGTGAGATAAGGTTCTAAAGTAAAGGGTTGTGTGACTAGGTGACTGGCTTTCTAATTCCAGAATGTAGTGGGAAGTATGGCCGCGTGACTGACGCAGGCTGGACCCGAGGACTGCTGGGAGGTTGTGCTCATCTGATGCTCACTTTCATGCATGCGGGTGTGTTAGAAGAAGTGGGTTAGTTTCAATACACCTTTCCTATTTATACTCTAACTTATAAGATAAATTCAATGAGCCCAATGTTCTTGCTTTAGTGGGGGACAATGTATGTGTAGGGTAAGCAGCAGGGACAGAAGGGGGACAAAGAACTAGCTGGGAGAAGACAAGCTAAATAGGTAGGTATGGAATTTACACCTTCCCTAGACCATGGGGTGTTTATGGGTTTGCTTTTTAAAAACTGTTGAGCCTAAGCTCTGTATCTGGTGGAGTAAAAGGAGAAGATGATAATGTTAGCAAGTAATTAACTTAGCAGAGTAGGTAATTATGTGGATAAAGGAAGTTAAAGTGTTACTCCAGATAAACTGTTGAATAGAAAATCTCTTTGCAGATATTTGAGTTGGTGTATTTTTACATAATAAAATCATTGTGGTTTAATGTAACACATTTGTTCAATTAAAATGTTTAAACACTACAATGCTGAATAAGAAACAAACCTCTTGAGCTCCTTGTCAATTCTTTGCTGCCGCTCTCTTATGATTCTTATTTCTTCATTACATCTGTGCTTTTCCCTATAAAATCACATATTAGAGTTAAATTTTAAAATAAAACAAACATTTATTTAAAAATTATATTTTTATTGATTTCAGAGAGGAAGGGAGAGGGAAAGAGAGAGAGAGAAACATCAATGATGAGAGAGAATCATTGATTGGCTGTCTCCTGCACGCCTTCCACTGGTGATGGAGCCCACAACCCGGGCATGTGCCCTAGACTAGAATTGAACCCCAAACCCTTCAGTCCACAGACTGAGGCTCTATCTACTAAGCCAAACTAACTAGGGCTAAAGCAAACATTTCTAATTGTAAAAGAATGTATCAGCAATGAGCTGACTTTCACGTGTGAGTAAAAGTCCTTTACAAACCAATTCTTCAGCGTCCCCTTCCAGTGCAGGACTCTGTGTGAGGAATCCCCAGCCTTGCAAACACCTGCCAAAGGCATCGCTCGCAACACCCATAGGGCCCTCCCACTCAGAGTCCATCCTGCTCCTCCCACTGAGCACAGGAAACGGAAGGCTCCTTCTCTGTGAATATGGGTGGGAGGGGAACGGCACCGCTGGAACAGCAGCTCAGGCTGTGGGTCTGCTGCTGGGTAGGACCTGGCTGGCTGCTCTCCAGTGACCTCGCTTTGATGTGTTTCCTGAAAAGCACCAGGCACCCGTCCTTTCTCCCAGTGAAGGCAGTAAGACCTCTAGGCAGTGACTTTGACATCACAGGAGAATTGAATCCTGCCAATTTGTTCTTATAAAAATTGATGGACATCCTCTCATTAAGCCGTTTCTAGCTTCCTGGCACATAAGAATACTGTGGCTGGCCATGAGTAATCACTGTAATTAAGTGGTTAAAACACACACACACACATTTCAGAAAAGACCTCCCTGCCTTGCTTTCCTCAATACCACCCCCGCTGCCACCCAGCTCCAGGGACCTCCTTCTAGTGAAGACAACTTTTCTGCTCTGCTCCCAGGGCGTCTTTGTAAACGGACAGTGATCCAATTCCCTCGTCGCCGGAGCTCTCTGCTGGCCTCTCCCTGTCGGGGTGCATCCCCCAGTCACACCACAGCCCAGCTTCCTTCTTCAACCCCTGACACTGCGTGAGAAATCCCCAGCGCACCCCCCCTTACAAACACCTGCCAAAGGCATCACTCGCAACACCTGAGTATGTGCTGGATCTGCTGCTCCCACAGGGCCCTCCCACTCGGTGTCCATCCTGCTCCATGGGCTCAAAGCGCATCCTCAACGCTTACCTGGAAAGAACCTCCGAGTTATAAGATGCTCAGAAGGAGCTCAGTGGAGATGGTTTCTAAGATCTCTTCCAGCTCTAAAAAGAGTCAGTTTTATATTTAGCAATAGTATGGCATCAACTTACATTATAAAATCCTTTTGGTTCTTTGCAAATTGTCTGTTTGCCTCCTTTATAATATCATGGTAAGTTGGAGCAGGAGGTGTGATAAGATCATGGTTAAGGAAAGATTTCCAATTGGGACCATCAGGAGAGATAAACAGTATCTTTAGTGGGGGGACAAAAAGGGATCTGGCCTTGCTTCCGGCATGAGGGGTCTCAAGTGTAATTGAATGCTGGGTCTGGAGTGATACTGAGAGGACTGAAAAAAGACAAGACCCACTGACCACTTCAAACTTGTATCCTGTTATCTGGACCACACCAACCACAGTATGCTAGAACTTAACAGTCACATAAATCCTGGAATTACAGTTTTTTAAATGGTGGATTTTTTGTTTGTTTGTTTTTGTTTTGGTGTGCATCAAAAGCAGCAATTTGTTAAATGTAAATATTAAAAGTGTACCAAAATTTCTGTAATCCTATTTATACAATTTTTTTCATTTCATTTTAAAATTAAATTATTGGGATGACATTGGTTAGTACAATGATATGGGTTTCAATCATACAATCCTATGATACATCACCTATATACTGCATGTGTGTTTACCCTAAGTCAAACCTCTTCATTTCTATGTGTACCGAGAACCTCAAAGTCTCTCGACCTCTGAGAAGCTCTGGAGTGGCTGTAGCGTGTGTCAGCTGCCTCCCTTAGCCTGAGCTTGGCGAACTGCACGAAGAAAGATGTTAATCAGAGCCCTGCCACAGTGGCTCAGTTGGTTGAGCACCATCCCATTCACCCAAAGGTTGCCAGTCAGATTCCTGGTCAGCGCATGTAACTGAGTGGTAGGTTTGATCCCTGGTTGGGGTATGCACGGAAGGTAACCGATGGATATTTCTTGCTCTCTCTCTCTGTCTCTCTCTAAGCATGTCCTGGGGTGAGGATTTAAAAAAAGAAAGATGGTAAGCAGGTGGTGTAAGTGTGTTGTTAGTGAGGCTGGGGCTTCTGTCCCGTCTGTTTCTGGTACAGCCTATGGCTGTGTCCCTTAGCCTCTTGTGAACCCAGGTCTGTGTCTGGCACACTTCCCTTTGAAGAAGCAATTGGAAAATGACTCAACGAGGCAGCCCTCACCTGTGTGGTGACCTTAGGCTCATCAATAATGAAGAGTTCTTAACTCTCTGCAGTTTCCAAGACACGGGACAACACTGTCCTCACTCCCTACTCCTCATCCCTAAGCACACTGCAATAATACTTTGAATTTTCTCTGAATGCAATTTGCTCATTTAAAACATTTATGCTCAATTTTAAGGTCTTCCTAGATGCTAATTTTGATCTTATTTATCTGGTATAAGAAAGGCCAAGGGGACTTTCCCATGTGTTCTGATCACACTGTACTCATTTCTTTATCTTCAGGGCTGTCCTGAGTGACATTACTAGAGTAAGTACCTATATGAACTGCAGTGTTTTTCCTAGATTTGAATCAAGTCCTAATGGTAAAATTTCAAAATAAATCTTCCTAAGGCTGAATCCATATTACTTTCAAACTTGGGCTTTGAGATGTCTTTCTGCATAAGAAATACATTTGATTATTCAATGAATAACAAGATTAAGGATAAAGTAGTCCTCAAATTTAAAAGGGAAGTAGTGGAAGCCTCACTTTAAATAATGAAAGCAGATTAAAAAAAAAAACACAAAAAAAAACCCACCAAGCTTTAAAAATCTACTCAGCTGGAACCGGTTTGGCTCAGTGGATAGAGCGTTGGCCTGTACCTTGGTTGCGGGCACATCCCCAGTAGGGGGTGTGCAAGAGGCAGCTGATTGATGATTCTCTCTCATCGATGTTTCTAACTCTCTATCCCTCTCTCTTCCTCTCTGTGAAAAATCAATAAAATATATTAAAAAAAATCTACTAATTTAAATGTTTCAGCAAAGCAAAGGATATTATTGTAAGAATACAGCAGCAGCATTAATGATTACATTAATCAAAAGAAAACAATTTCCCCATAATCATACTTTCCAAACAGTGAAATATTTTTAATTTTCTAAGTATCTCTCTATCTGTCATATGCAAATATGTATTTTACCTTATTGTTATGGTGTGGTTGCTTTCTTTACCAAATATAGTATAAAAATTTCCCCCACACATCTTGGTTTTGTCCTAATTATTTTAATGTTTGCAAAAGATTTCACTGGGTATACCTACCAGATGGGTTCTATTGCCATAATTATTGTGGCCATGGTGCAAACATTGCTGAGTTTTCTTTTTCTTTTTTTTCTTCTTTTTTTTAATATATTTTATTGATTTTTACAGAGAGGAAGAGAGAGGGATAGAGAGTTAGAAACATCGATGAGAGAGAATCATAGATCAGCTGCCTCTTGCACCCCTCCCACTGGGGATGTGCCCGCAACCAAGGTACATGCCCTTGACCAGAATCGAACCCGGGACCTTTCAGTCCGCAGGCCAATGCTCTGTCCACTGAGCCAAACCGGTCTCTGCAATTGCTGAGTTTTCTTACATGAAATTACCAACTTCTCTCTTCTCATGTGTGTTCCAATATGACTCCTCTCCCAGAACCCCAAGATTCTAGCCAGGGAGAACTGTCTCTCTCCTCACTCAGCTCCCTCTCAATTCTGGCTCAGATCTTGCTTAGCTTGGGACTGGTGTGATGCACATGGTAGAAAGGAGGCAGTGGTTCTGCTCATTGCATCAGCACAAAGCCTGCAGTCTGTTTTGCCTGATACCACCTTTAGTTTCTCCCTACATGTCCCAGACTGTAAGAAAGTCCAACCACGCTAGAAGGCTCAGCAATCTTCCTCTAACAAGTGATATCTGTGCATCCAGACTGCCTTTAATGCCTGCCTTCCTCCCCCTGCTGCACATGTCGCTGAAAGTCTAAGATCTTTCCTGAGTAAAAGTCACAGAAAACTGGATATCATTCTTCTTACTGAACACCTAGCATGACCAATGACACACTTTTTCCTAAAATGTTTATGGTCTCCAGCTGCTGAGATTTAATTTGCCTGTAGCTATTTCCTGCTAATATTTAACTTCTCCTTCAAGTGCCTGTTAGAATTTCAAAGACTTTATTCTTTTTTTTTAAATATATTTTATTGATTTTTCACAGAGAGGAAGGGAGAGGGATAGAGAGCTAGAAATGTCAATGAGAGAGAAACATTGACCAGCTGTCTCTTGCACACCCCATACCAGGGATGTGCCCTCAACCAATGTACATGCCCTTGACCAGAATCGAATCTGGGACCTTTCAGTATGCAGACCGATGCTTTACCACTGAGCCAAACTGGTTTTGGTTCAAAGACTTTATTCTTCTACAAAGTTATATTGTGCTCTTGATCATAGTTTTAAGTAGTTGTGAGCAGGCTGATATGTTTGTCACTCTAATAGGATTTTTTTTTTTTTGCATTGCACATTCATTATATACTTACTACTGGTATTGAGACAAAGAACTTTGTTTTATTATAAATTATTAATTTTGAATATATGTCATTATTGAAATGAACTGGATATGCATTCTTTAAAAAGTCATTCTCATTGTTCACAAAATTGGGCCACAGTTGTACATTTGTGTTGTGTTCTGAGCTGTATAATGTTGGTGTTGACTAACATCCGAGCATTTTCTTGCACTATTTAGTGATGATGGTTTTCAGTAGACTTCTGTTAATTAATGTTTGTTAATATCCTAATTTTTATTCCCTCAGATACTTAAGGCCATCAATGTTTCCCAACTGTAGAAAAATAGAGTACTCAAAGCTTATAAATTATGATGAATGGGTATATTCTGTTCCTTGGGGATGACTGTGGCAACATGTTTTCCAGTTGCACTGTTTGAATAGACCTCACACTTATTTTCTCAGGCGCTGTTACATGGGGGTCACATGGCAAGCCACTAAATGGATAAGGAGCCATTTGGGTACAAATAAAATGGTCTTGTACACAACAGTGTGGTTTGGATGTGACAAACTAAGACCTGGAAACATGCTTGTGGCCTCATTTCAGACTCTGTGGTCTTTGATCTCCGTTTTGAATCACAGAGAGAAACAAGGAACCTTAGAAATCCTGGGGTCCCATTTAGATGAAGAAACCAAGGCTGTGGAAGGGAAGTACCTTGTCTTTGAGAGTTTGTGTATGTGGGGGACTCAAGAAAAGAATGTCTCGGTGTGATCTTTGCTCCTGTCTGCCAAAAGTATTGTTCTAGAAGGAGGCTACACATGATGATCTTGTATATGAAGTAAAAGGAGCCTAAGCTTCAAGCAGTGGCCAGAATCTTCTTTAAACACCAAAATTCATTTAATTCGTAAACTTAATAACTTATTAGCATGTGGCCCAAAATGATTTTAAAGAAGTTATATTCTGCTTAATGTCTACCTTTACTTACACTTGAAATAGTTTTGTTATTAGAGAAATGGATGGATGGTCTTTCTCCATTGCTAGTGGGAGTGGGGCTCTTGAGGTGCTGTGGGAGTGAGCATTTCCAGAGGCCCGATGGAAGGATGGGTGCGGTAGAAAGTTTTATCTGCATGGAATTACATTTCTGGGTTTGCCAAGTCCCCTTTCCCTTAATCAGTACTTGAAGGTGTGCAGTTGGGGATTCAGAAGAACTAGAAGCAAAGCCAGTGTCCAGAGTTTCCATTCCACGTGGAGCTGGGTCTGATACAGTATCAGGCTAGTTGCAGTCCATTGGTCCATTGTGCGGGGTCCACATGGCTCTGAGCAAGAGTGTGAGAGTCCTGTGGGCCAGGAGTCAAGCTGGAGCAAACAGGAGCCAAGAGGCAAAAGTAAAAACTCCTTTGTTTAGGAGCTTATTTATCTCAAATATTCCCACATTTGCAGTGGCCATGCCTACCCGGGCCAATGACCTGTTTCCAAGTGTGACTGACAGGCAAGAACCTTCCTTATTCTACCCAGACTTTACTTGGCATGGGTCCATTCTTCGTCTCTCCTTTGCTCCTTTCCAGTTATTCATAAATAAGTTATTACAACAATATCAGCTTCATGTTAGACTTGCAGCAGTGTCTAACATCCACAGCATAGCCATGTATCCTCCCCCCCCCCCCACCAAAAATAAAAGATAACTAAGCATATGTGCCTTATTCTATGGGAGATAGAATCACTATTGAAATCTCACGCAGATTCTACATGGCCTGGTGTTATGTGTAAAAAAAGGTTACTGTCTTAGTAAGTTTCACTATTTGACACATCATTAGCAGCCGTTTTGTAGCATAGTCTAGAAATTTGAGGAAACAGGGCCACTGGAAATGTTAACAACAGACTTAGCTAAAAGCATTCCACAAACTCGCCAGGACTTTTACTAGGCGTTAAGACACTGAGTTAGAAAATGAGTTAGACATGGT